CCTTCCAGTAGGAGGAATCTTTGCTGCTGTTGTTCTGTTCCAACCATATTACTTGAATAAATTGTTTTTAAACTCATGGACAGTAGGTTGTATTAAACAACACATTTCAGATGCAATGTTTGATGTGGGAAGTTCCTCAAATCTTAATTAAAGATATCTTGGAATGAACTGGCTGTACTGCTTTTATTGTGTGCTTTCCACGTGCATCTACTACTATTGCCAGAAAATAAATCAACACTTAGGACTAATGTGCATTTTTCTTCTTTCACTTCCTGCCTCTAAACTGTCCTTCCTTCTCTTCCTGCTTCTTTATCTTTTCTCCTTGCCTTTCGGCCTAACTTTCTCCATTAATTTATCTCATTTTACTGATACTTTTTTAAACTTTGTCTCTAATAGTAGCACTCAAAATTGAAAGAGTTGGTACCACTACTCAGAGAACTGAAAAAGACAAAACTAATTGCAGTTTCTTGAAAAAGTTTTATTAAATTTATCAGGGTGATAGTAAATAAAAGATGTATTATTTTAGAACTGAGCATCCAAAAAAAAAAAGCTCCAGTTGAACTTGTTTCTAAATTTGTAATGAAAATTTTAAATTTGTGTTTTAAGTTCTTCACTTTTCATCCAACCAGTTGTAGAACTGTATCCTTACTAAAGTATTTCTTTGTTTCACATGTAAGTGACAATTGTCTAATAATTCTGTACTACCTTTTCTGCCATGGCAAGAGCCTCTCTTAGCCCTTATCTTGAATATCAGAAAGAACAAAAATGCATAAGAACTCAGATTTCTCATTGCAGCAGGATATTCCCCCCTCCCAAATGTGAACAAGACAATGCCCTATTTGCAAATGTATCAGTGGTCAGCTGAGACAGTTCCAATCCCCAGGCCTGGCAATGTTGAAACCAGTCTGGCTTCAACCTTGAATTAACATCCTGAATTAACATCCGGATGTTGAGGCAACCACTAGAGTCAGTCAATCACTTTATACTGTAAAGGTCCAGTGGACTTTCATACTGCCAGGTTCTTGTAACATAGTCCTTCTTGGGGTGTATGAGTGGAGATTCCTCCCTTGGGTTGGGATGTCCCTCAAGGATAGTTCTCTAGGTTGAGAGAAAGAGAGATGCCAAAGAACATTGGTATCGGCGAGTTACATCAATCTCTAGTTAATAATTATTTCTTTTTTCTAGCTTTAATATAAGCGTTTCAATAACTGATTTAAATATTATATTATAAATGACAGTCACAGAAAATGAAACCTATCATGAAACTGCAGGCCCATCAGCCTGACCTCAGTGCCTGGCAAGGTTATGGAGCAGATCATCCTACGTGCAATCACACAGCACTTATAGGACGGACAAGGGATCAGACCCAGCCAGCACGGGTTTAGGAAGGGCAGGTCCTGTCTGACCAACCTGATCTCCTTTTATGATCAGATGACCCACCTGGTGGATGAGGGGAAGGCTGTGGATGTGTCTACCTGGACTTCAGAAAAGCCTTTGACACCGTCTCCCACAGCATACTCCTGAAAAAGCTGGCAGCCCACAGATTGGACAGAGGCACTCTGTGCTGGGCTAGGAACTGGCTGGAGAGCCGGGCCCAGAGAGTGGTGGTGAACGGGGGTGCATCCAGTTGGCGGCCGGTCACTAGTGGTGTCCCCCAGGGATCAGTGTTGGGCCCAGTCATGTTTAATATCTTTATTGATGATCTAGATGAGGGGATTGAGTTCACCATTAGCAAATTTGCAGGTGATACCAAGTTGTGGGTGGGGTGTATCTGCTGAAGGCAGGAGGGCTCTTCAGAGGGACCTGGACAAGCTGGAAAAATGGTCTGATTCCAATGGGATGAGGTTTAACAGGACCAAGTGCCGGGTCCTGCAGTTTGGCCACAACAACCCCCTGCAGCACTACAGGCTGGGGACAAAGTGGCTGGAAAGCAGCCAGGCAGAAAGGGACCTGAGAGTTTGGATTGACAGGCATCTGAACAGGAGCCAGCAGTGTGCCCAGGTGGCCAAGAAGGCCAATGGCAGCCTGGCCTGGATCAGGAACAGTGTGGCCAGCAGGACCAGGGAAGTGATTCTTGCCCTGGACTCAGCACTGGTGAGGCCACACCTGGAGTGCTGTGTCCAGTTCTGGGTTCCTCAGTTCAGGAAGGATATTGAGGGGCTGGAGCAGGTCCAGAGAAGAGCAACAAGGCTGGTGAAGGGATTCAAGCACAAGTCGTATGAGGAGAGGCTGAGGGAGCTGGGGCTGTTTAGCCTGGAGAAGAGGAGGCTCAGGGGAGACCTCATCATTCTCTACAACTACCTGAAAGGAGGTTGTAGCCAGGTGGGGGTTGGTCTCTTCTCCCAGGTAGCTATCAGTAAGACAAGAGGACATGGTCTTAAGCTCTGCCAGGGGAGGTTTAGGTCAGATATTAAGAAATTCTTCACAGAGAGGGTAATCAGACATTGGAATGGGCTACCCAGGGAAGTGGTGGATTCTCCGTCTCTGGAGGTTTTTAAGAGGAGACTGGATGTGGCACTTAGTGCCATGGTCTAGTAACCACGGTGGTCGTGGATCAAGGGTTGGACTTGATGATCTCAGAGGTCCTTTCCAACTTGGCTAATTCTATGATTTTATGATAAGTATCACATTTAAAAACTCCACAAATTTTTTTTGCATTGTCCTCTGCAAGCAGGTTTTTTGTATGTTCTAAGGAATGCAAAGTATGTATTACCTAGCCTAAATCGCAAAATCTTTAATTAGAGGGGGTACTTTACTGGATCTCTTTAATTAGAGGAGGTACTTTACTGGATCTGCTCCTGACAGATCTGGAGAGAGAAAAGAAAGTACCTGTGAAATATGTTGGCAAACTTGGCTGCAGTGACCATGAGACAATGAAATTTAAGACAACGGATCCTGAGAAAAGTTTGTAAAATTAAGAGCAAATTACAAGCTTGGACTTCTGAAGTGACTCCTGATGAAAGTCAAATGCAAAAAGAGAGTAGCTGAAAAAGGAAAAAAAAAACCTCCCAGTGGCAGGTTCTGTGGAGGGTATAACTCACAACACAGGAAGATGTCCTTAGGCTGCAGTTAAGTGAATTGGACATATATAAGTCCCTGGAGCAGAGAAGATAAGTTCAAAGTGCAATGCTAGAGGAAGATCTACAGTGTCACTGAAAGGCCACTCTCTCTTATCTTTAATGGATCAGATAATTGTAGGTTTGAAATTGACTGGAAAAGTCAATTTCCATGTCCATCCTCAAGAAGAAAGATGTAGACACCTATAGACTGGTTTGCCTCACCAAGATCATGGAGCAAATTTGCCTAGACGCCACGTGCTGGATCACTAAAAACAGTGAGGATAATAAAAAACTGGAACAAGCTAAGAAGAGAGTAACCTCTGCAAGTGATGATATTAAAAACTAACCGGGTATGGTTAGTTAGATTAGACCTCAATGGTCTAATCTAACCTTGTAGTTGATCGTGCTCTGAGCAGGGAGGGTTGAATCTGTAACTTCTAGCTTTTTAACAGCCACAGTAAAAACAAGCAGCTTTCTGTGCTTGTCCAACCACATGTGTCTAAAACAACATAGAATAAACACTGATAAAAATAAAAATAGAAAGAAAATTCAGAATACCCTTCACCTCATTTTATCTTGTCTTATCAATTCTACAAAATCCAACAGTTGACTTTTCCAGTTCTTTGAGATTTGGACTTTCAGCTGCAGACCACTGAGAAGCAGAAAATTAAATGTAAAGGTCTCTGAAAGCTTATTATAAAATCTAAATAAGACTCTGGCTATTATTTCATGTTCAGTCTTGTTATTAGGGTATTTTTCCAGCTCAAGACTGATTTACATATACTGTAGAACTGAAATGACAAATGTGAAATTAAATTTACTGCTGAAAGGTGGGTATACAAATATGAACATCTGTATTAAAAAGAGTGGGGGAACTGAACTAAACTATCTAAAAAAAACCAAATAACTTACATTTTCCTCTGTCTCCTACTCTACAAACTAAGCAGGTTACCAAAATAACTAAAATAGGCAAAAAGTATACTGGTAAAAAATGTATATTTTGTATTATCCATATTAAACAGGGTGAATGATACCAATTATGGAATTATTCTCTGTATTTTAATCTAAACTCTAGGATTTGATTTTTATTTGGTTTACATTTTTGCAGGAGCGCCCATTGGGCAAAACTTCAAAACTTCCAGGGGTTTCCACCCCTCGGGGTCTACCACTTTTCAGCCTCTGGGGGAAAAACCAAGGTCCAAACCACCACAGTGTGCTGGTTTAAGAGTTAACCAGCAGGGGAAATGAACTCAACTCAAAGGAGAGATTATAAGTCAGAATAACAATTTATTAAAATAATACAGTAAGTACAATCATACAAACAAACAATTGGTCTTAACCCACAAAACCCAAATGTATAACCCAGCACCCTGGGGCATGAACAAAGTGGTGTTCCTTGGGCCCCGCTTGAGTCCAAAGTAAAGGGAGAGGGGAAAAACCTGCTGGTGGGAGAGCTGTTGCAGTCTGGTCAAAAGTGGTGATTGCAGTCCAGCTGAGGGTGGTGGTCTAAGTCTGGTTGAGAGCGATGAGATGCAGTCTTCCTCTAGATCCCAGGAGTGGTTAAAAATGTTCCAAGACTCCAAGATTATATATCCTCCAGTTCAGGCAGGAATGCTCAATACTTCCCTCAGGGCGGGGAGTTCCACAAAGGGTGTGAGGACAAGAGCATCCTCCTATCTCACAGGCCTCTTAACACCTAGTTTATAGCCTGAGGAGTCAGGCTCTATGGGCAGAGGGTGCGAATAGTCTATTGACAACAGTTTCTGGGAAATGGCATGGAAGGCTATAGAATACACAGTTTTGGGTTACACCCATCCAGTGATGAACTGATCTCAGCTGTCCTAACTAGGACAAAGGGGCAACAGAAAACACTGTTCTAATAAATACACATACCCAAAACATTCACTTTTGTAACTTCCATATTTTATGCTTATTTCCTACCTATGCGCAGGTATCTTGCGGTCCCCAGCAATCAGGATAACGTCACAGAGCTGCTGTTGCTTCAAGTAGCTCTCCATCTTTCTGAAGGTTTGCTCCGCATGGTGAACAGCCTGGTAGAATTCCTCGGAGCTACAGGAATCCATGTCACAGTGGGGTGGCAAGGAGTGGCTGGCTCCTGACAGTCTGTAAACCACAAGAGAAACTCCACGTTGATAAGATGTAACCAGGCTTCACACAGGCTTCTACAGTCTGATACAAGTAATCAGTGCATCCTTTCCCTGTTCTCATCGCTAGAAGTACAAAAATCTTACTGCACTGGGAGAGAAACGAAAAAAGCAATCCTATCTTTCCACTGTTTCTGAGAGGGCCTACTCTAGTCTACTTTCTCAAATTCACATTCATTTTACATCCCATGGGAAAGAAAAATAAAATTCTAATTGATTTAATTTGTAAAGAATTGTGATTATTTCCACAACAATAAATGACATAGCTACTTTTCAACCGAAAGGCTCATTAATAGAAAGTAAATTTAACATGCAAAAATAATGAAGTCTATATTAGAAAAAAAAAAAAGAAGAAAAGAAAAGAAAAACAGGAGAAAATGTAATTTTTTTTTTCATTATATAGCCACCTATTCGTAGTTCAAAGTTACTCAGTGCAGTGTTGTAGTGGAAAATAAGAAAAAGTGTCAGGTCTAGCTAATACTAGATTTCCAAATTATTCACAACAACTTTTAAAAATAAGCAATGAGATAGTTTCAAATTAATGCTGTAAGATTTTTTTTATATTATATATAGATGTGTAACTTGTACTGCCGAAAATTAAGGATTTCACAGATGAAGCTGATTATTTTTTCTTCAACTAGATATATAGAAAACAGTTTACATAATCAATAGAAGAGCAATAGAAGACATATTGTAGTCCAGCATATGAAACAATATTATAAATTAATTCAAACCAAACTCATTCTATATATATTCTATTGAAAGATAAATATTAAGGAGCACATAAGAAATGTTGATTATTTATAGTAATAATACAACAGTTTCATTACATAAGGTTTGAATTCAGTAAGTACTATATTTGCAGAATGATATTGAAAGACCTATAAGAAAATGCAGTCTAAACTCCTGGTGCTGGAAAAAAATTAAATTCTTAAAAGTCAGCTATTAAAATCAAATGCAGTTATTAAAAAAAAAAAAAGTTAAAAAAAATGTTGAGACATGCTTGTGATTTACTTTTGAATTATTTTTTGTCCAAAAGTGTTCCACTCCTACAGTCATTGTATGAGGGTCAATAGGTTTAAGGAGGAAAGGCTACTCCATCTTTCTGTCACAGTAATATCTAGGCTTCACAGCATTCCTTTAAAGTATCTGGAAGCCTGCATAATTGAAGGTGGCATGCAGATAATTTCACAGGGAACCGACACAGTTACGCTAGGATCTCATCCCACCAGCTATTAAGTGTCATATACTGGTACTAATTCAACATAATGAGTTATCATTTAAAATTAAGTAATTTCACTTTATTTAAACTTCATTTAAAAGAAGTAAATTCACTTTCATAACATTAAGTCAGATCCTGAAAAGTCATCAATTGGTTTAAATTAATTTTTATGCTGGAAAGGTTATGTGTGAGCCTGTCTATAGGAAACTGAACTGGTAAAATGTTATTAAACCTGATTCCTCAACAGAAACAGTTACGAAGTGGTGATTTAGAAAGAAACATTTCCTTAATTCTGTTATAGTTAATCTTGTTATACTGTTAAGTGCTTTGTGCCAGATATCTCCTCCCAACCGATCAAACAAACATTGATTCTGTGAGTGGCATAATCTGTTTAAGTGTTCCTATCTAATCTGGAGTGCCATACATGTTGATCAGAAATCCAAATTTATTCTCACATATTTGGTTGATCAACAAATGCTTTCCCAAAAAAACCTCTAATGATAGAGCTAAGCTCATTAGAATGGGTAGTGGGTAGGTATTTCAGCTTCTTTTCTCTTCCTCTTTTCTTTCTTTCTTTTCTTTCTTTCTTTTTCCTTCTTTCTCTCTTTTTTTTTCCTTCCTTCCTTCTTTCTTTCTTTCTCTTCACTTTGGTTGTGTAGCCCTACTCAAACTTTAGTTTTGTTGCTGAAGAATTAGAATGACAAGTAAATTACAAGAAATAAATCAGTTCCTAATAAATGAGGTTGCTAGGGTTAAACAGACACATTTCTTCCTCTCCCCTGGGGAATCTAGAAGTGACAACAACAGCAATTTTGAGAAAGGAAAATAACCAGAATGAGCAGATTTAACGGGTTCATATTGTTTGTTAATTCAGAAAGCAGGTCTAAGTCAGTTTACATTTGAACAGATAGGATGCTAGTCCTGATTCTTTTTGGCTATTCAAAATCCTGTCTTTTCCAGGTCAGAAAAAGAGAAGTACCCTGACTGAATTTATGCTAGTCTTATGAAGTGAGATTGGACTGCAATGAGCTTAGTCTATTTTGCTCTTGAATTGTTAGATAGTGTTTGCCACAAATTTTGCCCTCTTTCCTTGTTTGCCATTTATAAACAAGACTTTCTACTGTCTAACTCAGTATATCTGTCACTTAGCAAGTCAGTAAATGACTGCTCAAAAGCAAGCCCCCAAAGGCTCAGCATATTTTAATTTATTATCCTGAAAAATAGGAACCAATAAGCTTAGTAGAAGACAATAAGTTAATCTTTTATTTATTTTCTAAGAAAGCCCAGATTAAAAGCCTGCTACTTATCCTATTCAGGAGCTACCTCTGTTTATTACAAAAGTTCTGTCTCCATAATCAATGCTTTAAATGTAGATAGCACCTTGTTCAAGTAGGAATTATTCAAAGCAAATACCATTTACTTTCTACCAGTTTGTGAAAGGCATGTATAGGTACTCAGGGTCAATTAGAGATATGAAAATCACATTTTCTTTTTGCATATATTGTTTTTGTCTAGATGCGGGGAAACTGGACCACACATGCAGTGAGATGCTTGTTGATTGCATTCAGCAGCACGTCCTGACACAAATTTGACTGAAAATTCCCTGAGACTTTCAAAAAAAAAAAAAGGAAACAATTCACCTTAGTAAGTTTGTATAGACTTATTTTCAATGTTAAGAACAACTTTTTGCCCTCAAAAGAGAAATGTTTTAAAAAGAGCCCCAAGGTGTTGAGAAAATCCAGTCTTTGAGCCTCTACAGATCTTAAAATAGTGTAAATAGAAATAAAAACTTAGAGAATCTACAACATCTGACTCCACAGTGCTCCTCTTTTACTAGAAAAAGCACATTGATTTGAACAAAAATAAAGAAATTAAAACCTTTATCTTATAGTAACGCTACAGAGTTAAAGAGAAAATGCCAAGAAAAAAAGAGGACCTTACATACAAATTTAGCTACCTTTATCGGTCTTGTTAAGTAGTTAGTAAAACTGTCACACTTAAGCTGCAAACATTTGAAAACAGCAACACAAACACCAGTAGTTAAACCATATCCTGAATAAATCAAAGAAAAAAAAAAAGTAGTATGAAATACGATTTGAAACTATACTACATTTCTCTGAGTAACCAGAGGCTTAGATTTAGAAATGTTTCCATTCTGGAAATTATATTCATAGAGGTGCAGAAAACAACAGATTCATATCACTGTATATAGCAAAGTACTTTACAGAGTACTTAGGTATATTAAATACTCTATCAGAACACATCCTTCATTTCACTGAAGGTCCTGGCCAAAAATAAAGAACTTTTTAATCAGAAAATATCATATCATTTCATTGTTACTGGAATATCAAATCCTGCTGTTATTTAAATTTTTTTTTCAGTTTTCACTTATGCAGGATTGATGATGCAAACTTATTCAAAATCTGTTCAATGTAATTTAGTGTATATTACTGGGTACATATCCAAAACACATAGTCAAGAAAAAAAACATAACCAGTTCTTCAGTGAAAATTACTTTGCTATTTATAACTTGCAAAGCCAGAAGAAATATTCCATATATAAGTGAACAAAATCCACACAATTCTTTCTCTAAAAATTGCTTATTGAATGCTTAGAAATCAATAGCCTGAGGAATTGCAATTACCAAACTAAGATGAACTGTCAAAAGTCATGGCTCTCATTAGCGATCACTTGCAAAAAAAAAAAAGTTTCCTTACAGTAACAGGAAGGCTAAAATTCTGTTTGTGAACAAAAGCTACATTTTTCACTCTGTTACCTGCAATCATATCTGCAACTACAGGCTCTGCCTAGAATTTCAGCAGTTAGAAGTGCCAGATAAAAATATAATGGGAATATCAAATAGGACTTTTTAGTTATACCCGGTTAGCTCAGAGATGCATTGCTGCTGTCTCAGGGATTCTTTTTCCATGTAAAAGAAAAAATGGAGTCCAGTGCACATTATAAACCCGTTGCTCTTGTTCTATAGATAAATCTGCACAATGTATCCTTTACAATGATGTTTCCTCCTAAAGGCAATTTCTGGATCAAGATAATTGTAATGTAACTCATTCTTTGGACACCATAAGGCAAAATTCAGTCACTAGGCCATCTGCATGCCTAGGAAAAATACATCTGAATCCTCTGTTGTTCTGTGTTTCTGTACCACTTAAGAACATTACCAGCCCTGAGAAACAAAATATTAGCTACCAGTTTATTGTGTGATTTCAGACAAATTGTTCAAGCAGCCCTTCAGAAACACAGAAAGGGCAATGAGAAGGGACAACTGCACTACAACCAAACTGCTTCTATAGAGAAAAAATATATGCCTTGTTTAGTTGCTGACAGGAAAAAAAAAGGCTCAACAAGGCAGTTCAACAAAAAGGCAGTACAGTTAGAGAAGGAAGAGTTTGTTTGCAGTATGATTTTTCCAGATTACTAATAATACACAAATCAAGGTATGTGTTTTGGTTGAGTTCAAAATACACTCAGTTGGATTTTTTCTTATCTATGACCCTTCACCAGATAATGACCTAACCTAAGCTCCAAGCACTGACCTCTCTATTGTCAGTGTGATAAACCAACATAGATAAAGATTTCATAGTCTCCCAAAATACTTGGGTTTTTTAGATTTCAGTTCTTTTAAAAATGTCTTGGTTTTGACTTTGTTGTTGTAAAAACAAAAGATTAAATAAAATTAATTCAATTAATGGACAGACAATTACTAAAAAAATCTCATT